TTGTCTTTCTTTGTATACTATTTAATTTGTTCCTCTTCCTCCTGTATTTCCCACAAGCTGAAAGCACCTCTGAAGGTCTGGTTAGGTTCTGGTTTAACAATTTTTTTTCAAGAATATGTAAAAAGGGACCATGTTTCTCCAACTATAATATCTTAACAGTCAATGGGTAAATCCATGGCTGATTCTTGCCAATGTATGGCAAACACCACTACAATATTGTAAAGTAATTAGCCTCTAACTAATAAAAATAAATGAAAAAAAAAAGTCAATGGGGAATCTATTTGATGTGCAGATTCTGATTCCATAGGTCTGGGGTGGGGTCCAAAACTGCATTACTAACAAGCTCCCAGGTGGTGCTGATGTTCCAGTCCAGGGACCACACCGTGAACAGCATGGTCAAAGGTGTTGCTGTGCACTTCATTCTGCCCGGCATCAAGACATCTCAGCATGAGTGATATGAAGTTTGATCCCTTGATTATGGTGGTTATTGCCAGATATTGCCACCCTAAAGGCATCCTTCCCCTTTTACAATTAGAAATCATCTTGGAGTAATCTTTGGCCAATAGTTTGGCCACCTGATGCGAAAAACTGACTCATTGGAAAAGAACCTGATGATAGAAAAGATTGAAGGCGGGAGGAGAAGGGGATGACAGAGGATGAGATTGTTGGATGGCATCAGGGACTCAACGGACATGATTTTGAGCAAGCTCCGGGAGTTGGCAAAGGATGTGGAAGCCTGGCGTGCGCAGTCCATGGGGTCGCATAGAGTCAGACACGACTGAGTGACTGAACTGAACTGGAGTGATCCTGGGGCAATTTGAAGTCATCTCAGGGCAATTGCAGCACAGAAGTTTCCAATTATTTACCACTCTCTACTTCTCCTTTCGTGAAGGAAATGACAACCCACTCCAGTATTCTTGCCTAGAAACTTCCAAGGACAGAGGAGCCTGGTGGGCTACGGTTCATGGGATCACAAAGAGTTGGGCATGACTGAACACACACGCACTTCTCCTTTTGTAATATTATCATGTAATTACTTGTTAATATCTGTTTCCCCCAACACACACACACACACAGTATCCGTTTCACTCACTGCTGTCCTGTGATGCCTGGTATGGAGTAGGCATGCAGTGGCTGAAAAAAGAAATGAAATTTGTGATTTCTCTTTGATAATGTATTTAGAAAGCTGTTTTTAACTTAAGCCAATTTGTATTTTTAAAAATAAGTGGACCTGATAAAATAATTCCAAATATAAACATATATAATATAATGTGTTATATTATATGGAATCAAACTTTGCATCACTCAGGCTGAGACAACTGCTCTCATCTTAAATGTCTCCCATCCAGTCTGCCATCTCTGATACCCACAGTTAGCCACAATTTCCATTTCTTGTGTACCATACAGAAGTACACAAAATTATATACATATATTTGTATCTACTTTTATATTTCTCTTTAATGGAAAACCACCATCACCATTGTTAGGAAACTTGCTTTGTTTGGTTGGCTGGTTTATCTTGGAGATCATTCTGTATCTGTAGATAGATATGGAATGGTCTATGTTGATCTATAGATAGATAGTTCCACCTCATTGTTTTTCATCACTATATAGTATTCTCTGGTACAGATACAGTGACATTTATTTAACTAGTTCCTTATTCTTGGACACTGAAGTTATTTCAAGTGCTTTGCTATTCACTTCAGTTCAGTTCAGTCACCCAGTCATGTCTGACTCTTTGTGACCCCATGGACCCCATGGAACACACCAGGCCTCCCTGTCCATCACCAACTCCCGGAGTTTACTCAAACTCATGTCCATTGAGTTGGTGATGCCTTCCAAACATCTCATCCTTTGCCATCCCCTTCTCCTCCTGCCTTCAATCTTTCCCAGCATCAGTGTCTTTTCAAATGAGTCAGCTCTTCGCATCAGGTATTACCAACAAAATTAATACCCATATGCATATAGTTATATGAATATACATTTTATCTACCACATGAATTCCTAAAAATCCAACTGCTAGATCAAAAAGTGTCTGCATTTTGAAAATATTTTTGATGGTCAAATTATTCTCCAAAGAGGTTGCACCAAATATACACTCTTGTCAGCAGTGGTGTATCCATGATTCTGTGAGTAACAAGCAAGTAGTGAGTACCTAAACCCCTCAGGCAGAGACATTTTCACAGCCGAAGTCTCCAAAGCCAGAAGTCAGGTTGCCTTCCTCCCTCCCCTCCACCCCTGCCCCAAGAGCCAACCAGCAGGAGCTCGTTGCCAAGTTCATCTCCCGTGTCACATCCATCACTTCGTCCTTCCCTCTTCACTGTCTTGGCTGCAGTTCAGGTCTTCAACCTTTGTCGTTGGAACCATGTCTGTGGTCTCCCCCTAGGGAGAGTCTTAGGTCCCTAACCAGGTAGCTCAGTGGTAAAGAATCTGTTTGCCAACATAGGAGACAAAGATGAGGGTTTGATCCCTGGGTTGGGAAGATTCCCTTGGAGCAGGAAATGGCAACCCGCTCCAGTATTCTTGCCTGGAAAATTCCATGGACAGAGGAGCCTGGCAGACTACAGTCCATTGGGTCGCAAAGAGTTGAACAGAATAGCACACACCCCTGATATAGCTTCCAGGGGGTAGCTGCCAGGTTTCTATATGACTCTCTCCTGCTCAGTGTCCCTCTGGGGCACCCCCTGCCTTGCAAGGCAAAGGCCAACCCCTTGGTCTGGCTACAGATCTGCGTTATCTCGCTCCTGCTTTCTGCATTGTCATTTCCCCTCCTTCCCCCCTTGTGTGCAATTTCGAAACTGTCACTTCCCACGCTCCCTACTGTGTCCCTTGAGGCTTTGGCTTCCTTCCCTGTTGGACCTCCCTGCACAGACCACCTTCCCCTGAACCTTGCCTCCTTCCCAAATCCTTCGCAAGGATTTCCAGGCTCCCCATTGTACCCCCAGGGGAGGTTAGGCTGTCCCCTGTGCTCCCCCCCAATGTTATCTCTTGCCCCCCCCCTCACTTGCAGCATTTCAGGTTTGGACAACATATTCAGATGTCTGTTCTCCAACTAGGACGTGAGTTCCTTGAGAGCAGAAGGGCAGCCTAGTCATGGCATACCCCCGGGTCTTGGCACGGTGCCTGGCACCACAATCCACGTGGTTGCATTGAACTCTGTGGATGAAGAGTGTGTGTGTGTGTGTGTGTGTGTGTGTGTGTGTGTGTGTAAGGCTGGCTGAGGTCTCAAAGTTGGGAGCGCTGGTGACTCTGCGGTAACAGGCCCTTCAGGATGCAAATCTGGGGGGCGCGAGTGTTTGCATGGAGAGCAGGAAATAGAGCAGGACCCCGAGGAGGGCCGGGCAGGAGGCAGGCAGGGCTCGGTGCTGACCCGGCCGAGGGCTCTCGGGCTTCGGCTCAGAGTGGGACCGGAGCTCAGGGTGCTGAGCGAGGGTGCTGCGTCCTTTCCTCCCGGGTGATGGCTTCACGACGCTTTTCTACCAGGAAAAGTACTGGGGAGAGGGAAGGGGGAGGGGGCAGCATCACACACACACAGCAGAGACCTGGGGGGACACAGCAGAGTCTGGAGCGCCAGGAGGCTGAAGTCACAAGGTGAGGGGATGAGGGCCGGGAGAGGCAGAGGGTGGAGATGGGGGGGGGGGGGGGNGGGGGGGGGGGGGGGGGGGGGGGGGGGGGGGGGGGGGGGGGGGGGGGGGGGGGGGGGTGTGGAGCAGGAGGATCGGATTTGAGAGGGGCAGATCTTCCTTCTCCCCAGTGCATGGGGAGGTTGGGGGAGGGGGGAGAAGCTACCCACCCCCAGGAGAGGGCCTCGTTCTAGGCCGGCCCTCATCCTTCCAGCCCCGGGCGCCTCGGGGAGAGGGTGGGATGTCTGCTCCCAGGCTGGGGACCGGCGGGAGAGGCCCGGCGCCGGGGAGCCCAGGCGTCGGCGAGGACAGAGAGGCCTCTAGCGGCCACCTTGGGCAGCAGGCGAGGGCGAGCCGGGAGGGCACTTCCTGCCAGGGCCCGGGGCGGCCCAGTTTCGCAAAGGAAGTTCTGCCAGGGCCGGAGGGGCGGAGGCAGGAAGTGGGCCGGAGGCTCGCGCTAGGGTGCGGCCGGCGGGTAGTGAGAGGCCGCGGCCGGGCGCGGGGGAGGGCCGCGGAGGTGAACCAGACCGAGGCCGCGACCCCACCCATCCTCCGCGGGTCCCCGGACGCCTCCGCCTGCCCACAGCGCGGTCCGGCGGCGCGGCGCTGCCAGCGACGCCTCGGCCATCGGCGCTGGGTCAACCGCGTTCCAAGTTCTTCCGTTTGGAGTTGAACTTGGCTTCCCTCTAGCTCGCCCCATTCCCCTCCACCCTCTGGGGCCTCACGGGTCCCTTCCCTCCACCACTCCGGGGCGGAGACCACACCCCTCCCGTCTCCAAATACCTTCCAGGGGCCTCTCCTAGGGTCGCGTTTCAGTTCGCCTCAGAGCTAATACTCTGTGGCGTCCTCCCGAGGCAGGCATTATTTAATCACTTCTGCAAAGAGGGCCTAGCTCCATTTTCTTGGTCAGACAACTGAGGCCAGGACCGGTAGAATTAAATAACAGTCAGATGAACTCGGGCTTCCTTGGTGCCTCAGCGGTCAAGAATCCGCCTGCGAATGCACACGATGCAAGAGACACAGGTTCGAGCCCCAGGTTGAGGGGGAGGGGAAGATCCCTGGAGAAGGAAATGGCAACCTATTCCAGTATTCTTGCCTGGGAAACCCCATGGACAGAGGAGCCTGGTGGGCTAGAGTCTACGGGGCTTCAGAAGAGTTGGAAACGAGTTAGTGACTAAACAGCAAACAGCACAGATGCACTCGGACCCATTCAAAGTTTGCACTTTCAGGCTTGACGCCCCTGGAAGAGTGAGGGCAGCCCTTCCCTCCACTACAATCCCCTTCCCTCCAAAGGGTTTGCTGAAGCAGTTGTGGCTTCACTGGACTTCCCCCCAAGTTCAACACCCCCCTTCCCCATCAATAACCACAGAGCCAGGATGGGGGGGTGAGGATCTGGTTTCTCTTTAGTTCTTATCAAACTGTGGGGTTCTCCGTTACAGAGAAGGCACTTAGATGGGAGGGTCACCCGAGTCAGACCAACTTTGTCCTCCCTCCCACCCCCAGCTCTCTGGGGGGGAGGGGGTAATGACATGTCCACCTGACATCCCCCTTGGCACTGGTATGTGGGTCCCCTTAACCGTTAGGCCTTTGGGAGAACCCAAGGCCCTGGCCTCCAGACTCAGCGTTTGGAGGAGGGATTCCAGATAAAGGACTCAGAGCTGGAAGGCAGGATGTCCTGGGAGCTGCCCCCAGCCAGCAGGGGGCAAAGCAGAGGGGCTGCAGGGGTGGGGTTGGCACAGGGGCAGGGGACAACTTGGCCAGGTTTCCTGGAGACCCCCAAACCCCATAAGGGTCCCACCTCCTACAGCTCCCCTAAAGGCACCGGTGAAGTACGGGGTGCAGGTGGGGAGGCACCGGTTAGGTGGTCTAGAGAGAGACCCACACACAAACTCCGCGGGTGGGCCAGGCACAATGCAGGGCACAGAAAAGGTGCTCAATGAATGATTTTTGAATGAATGAATGATTGGAGCAGAGAAAGTGTGAGGGACAAAGGACAGGGCCTGGGGCCCCTTGGCCAGCCTGTTTCATTCAGAAAATAGTTTAAAAAATGTAAAAATCCTTTCCCTCCTCACCCCCCTAGTTTATGGGCCCAGGAAAGGGGCGAGGGAAGGGTGTCTCTACCTGGACCCTTCTCTCTCCCCCTCCCCTAAAAGTCTATATACACATATACATATTTATATGGCACCGCAGGATATTGCCCGGGCCCCCACACGGAGCTGGGGGCACCAAGCCCCAAGGCAGAGGTGAGAGGTTGGAACTTGGGGCGGTGTGGGAAGTAGCCCTCAGCAGCTGGTGAGCCCAGAGCAGCTGGATTCTGGGGTCCCAAACAACAGACACCTGCTCCCTTCACAAGTGGAAACAGATCAACCCTCCCCACCCTAGGCAGAGGTGGGGTGAGGGCGGTCTGGAGCAGTCCCCAGGGAAGAGGTGGGGAGACTGGGTCCTTCCCCACCAGCCTAGATTGCAGCAACCTGAAGGCTGTTCCGGGCAAAGCTGACCCAGATGGTGGCCCTGGGAAAATCGAGCTGGGAAGAGGGCTCTATGCAAGGCACTTGGAGTTCACTGTTCCCAGGCTGAGGGGGGGCGTCCAAGGCAGAGGGCAGCGCAAACCCTGCCCCTCCCCCAAGCAGAACCGGAAGGGCCTGAGGGGCCCAGTTTGGCAGCAGAGAAACATGGCCGTGCAGAGAGAGAGAGGAAGGAAGGGGGAGTGGCACAGAGCCCCTGGGTCCCCCATGGAGGAGGTTCTAAGGCACTGACTCAGGGACCCAGGGGCTCATCGCCCTCCGTGCAGCCTGCTGCCCCCTCCAGAGCCTGGCCAGGCTGGTGGGGGGTGCGGGGGTGGGACAGGGAGACCCCGCTTCCCCGTGGTGCTGAGTTTTCTTAAGGCAGAGTCCGAGTGAGAGGGGTGCAGATGTGGTCAGGGGCAGGTCCGAGCCCCGTGGCGCCTCACTAGCTACCCGGCCGAGGCTGCCTGAGCACTGAGTACACGTCGTCCACACGGCTGAGCTGCTCGAAGAAGGGCAGGAGGTCATGGAGCTCCGTGTCACTCATGTTGTCGAACCAGGAGGCCACCGGTACCTGGAAGATGGGTTGTGGGGCGATGAGGGGGGTGTGGGGCGATGTTGTGGGGCGATGAGGGGGGCAGGGGGCCCTGGTCACAGAACATCCAGATCAGCCCTGAGCACCCTCACCCAGTTTCCCAGCAAGTGGCACCGATCACACAAGTCAGAGCGGACGTTTTAGGGAACCATGCTCAACCCTGCATGTTTGACCTGTCTCTTCAGTCGTGTCTGACTTTTAGGGACCCCATGGACTGTAGCCCGTGGGCCAGGCTCCTCTGTCCATGGGATTCTCCAAGCAAGAATACTGGAGTGGGTTATCATTTCCTCTCCAAAGGATCTTCCTGACCCAGGGATCCAGCCGAGTCTCTTCTGTCTCCTGCATTGGCAGGCGGGTTCTTTAGCACTAGCACCACCTGGGAAGCCCTTACCCTATTGTATACTAAGCACTTCGGACAGTTTTGGTTCTACTTAATTCTTTAAGAAAGTTATTTCTGGGATCCACTAACAATTCACAACTGTCAGGATGAAGTGGAAACTGCTCTAGTGCCCAGCAAGGGACCCAAACCCACGGCAGGCGCCTATACATGCAGGCAGAATGGGCTGAGTAACTAATAAGAGACCTGGGGCAACTGTGGATGGACAAGGTGAGCAGACAGCAGGCAGGGGCCACTGAGGAGAAAAAAGAGGGAGGAACGGGAGGGACCAGACCCCCGCAGGGCTCCAGCCCCCATCCTGCCGGGCACTCACGGCGTTATCTGGATGGAAGACGTAGGAGGCGGGCGAGTTGTCCAGGATGAGCACGCGACGCAGGTCTCGGCCCAGTCGGCTCAGGTCCTTCACGTAGTTCCCCCGGTGGAAAACACACGACTCCCGAAACAGCCGTGCCCGGAAGGCCCCCCACTTGTCCAACAGGTCAGCTACGGGGTCTGCATACTGGGGGGCGGGAGGTGGGTCATCGGGGGCGGGGAGGGCGCCAAGAGGGACCCAGAGGCCTCTGCCCAGAGGTTGTGTGTTGGAGGCAGACAGAAAGCAGAGGTGCCCAGGGAGCCCTGCGGAGGGTGGAGGGCTCACCTTGGCCAGGCTGGCGGTGAACAGCACGCATTCGAAGAGCTCACCCATCCGTTGCAGGAACTCATCGACGTGGGGCCGCTTCAGCACGTAGACCTGGGGGGTGGGCCAGTGAGGGGACTGCTGGCCCGTGGGCCTGGGTGGGGTGGGGCAGGGTGGGGTGGCGGGGGGCTGGGCAGGAGTTAGGTGCAGGAGGCAGAGGAGCACAGAAGGGTGGCTGGTCCCAGGGCCCGTGGGCTCCACGTGGTCAGCCACCCCCACCACTGCCAGGTAAACCACCCACTGTCCCCGAAGAGGATCAAATAACCTCCGACTTCTGTCTTCAGGCCCTACCTCAGAGGGAATCACTAATTCCCACCCCTTCCTCCGCCAGGGCCTCGGCCAGATGTGGGGGCCTAGGGCAACCCCCTCACCCCAAGGCTGCAGGGCACCGGCCCCCGAGCCAAGTAATGGAGAACAGGCTGGACAGCACACAACCTATCCTGAATTACTTGAACTGGGTCCCGGGCAGGGTGGGGGCGAGGGGGCACCGAGAAAGACCCCCCACCCCACTCCCTGCAGGCCTTGGAGCTGGGCCAAGTCCCTGAGGGTCTGTGTGACCTCAGGTAAGTCTCACACCCTCTCTGGGCCTCGGACATTCCATATTTATCAAAATCCCATCTAGAGCTCTCAGGACTGGTGGGAGGAGCCTGGGGTCTGGAAGACAGATGCCATCCCTACCACCTCCCCCCCACCCCCAGCCCCTCACCTGGTGGACCACCCCATCAATCTCCACAGGAATGATGAAGTCAGCATTGTTCACTGGCTGCAGGGGGAAGAGAGCTGCTGGAGCTGGGGCAAGGCCAGCCAGGACCACCCTCCCAGGCCAGGCCAGGGTCTGTGTGACCTCAGCCAAGTCTCACACCCTCTCTGGACTTCTGACAATTCCACATTTATCAAAATCCCATCCAGGGCTCAGAGACCGGGGCCTGAGGGCTGCTGGGCGGGGGGCCCACCTTGAAGGAACTGTGCACCAGGGTCTCGTCCAGGTCGATGACCACGCAGATCTTGTCCGAGTCCTGGGCTTTGGCCTCAGGGAGCAGGTACTGGACTGGGGTCTGCTGTGGGGACAAGGGGGGAGCTGGCTGCTGCCACCTCTCTGAAGTCCCAGTCATTTCTCCTCCCCCAGCCCTCTTCCTGGAGAGCCCCAAGGATAGAGTGGAGACACCAGCTCCTTCCCAGCTTGGCCCCTGCCAACTCTGGAGCCTGGGGTAGGCTGCCTGGCTCTCTGGGCTTCACTTCCTGACCTGAGAAATCAACGCAGAGGAAAGCCTGCACTTCTGAAGGGGAAATTCAGAATCCTCAGGGCTAGGGACCCTCGGAGGCAGTCAGGGTTGGGAAGGCCTGGGAGGGTGGAGGGCTTGGTGGGAGGGGTAGGGGGGCTTCACCCTCCTCCACAGGGCCTAGCAGCACGCCATGAAGAGCCCCCTTCCCCTACACCCCCCGAAGGGCTGAATCCAGGTGCCCCCATAGCCCCTACTTGGCCAGCACGCACCTTGGGGACCGCACCATTCTCCTCCACGAGCAGGGGTGCCCCGCTGTGGGCGGGCAGGGCCTCCGCGTCATCCCGGCAGACACAGCAGAAGAGCGAGTGGAGGATGCCCCTGCTCCGGGGCTTCTGAGAGGCTGCTGACTTCTGGTCACCTAAAGCAAGGAGGCCCAAGGTGGGGGCGTGCACACTGCCTGGCCTGCAGGGCTGTGCCTACATGCCCGGCTGCCAACCCCTGGGCTGAGAGGATCTGGCCATGCTATCTTCATTGAGGGATACACACTAAGGTGGCAGCCTGACAGTCTTGGCTCCAGGCCACCCCTCTGCTCCCCACAAGTTCTTCTAATGTGGGTACAACGTCACCCACATTAGGGAGTGAGCTGGTTGGAGGCTGGGACGGGAGGTGTTTCCTCTTCCCAACAGTTTCCATCTCTGCTAGGGGAGCAGTGCATAGGGGCACCTCCTGACACGCACCGGACCTGAGCAGCCCCTGGTCAGTGGGGCCCCTACCAAAGAGGGCTGGGGCTTGGGGCTCTGGGGCCCACTCCCGCCCTCCTCCCATTCTCCGCCTCCAGAGGTCCAAAGTCCTCCCTGAAGCTGGGCCCAGACACAGGGGGCGGGGGCTTGAAGCTAGTGTCCTGCGGCCATCTACTGGCCCCTCCTCCTCCGCCCCCGCCCGGACCTCCAACCTAGATCCCGCTGAAAGACTGGCCCACACTCCACCGACCCCCTATCCAACTCCCCCCGCCCCCGACCCCGGGCGGAGCTAGGTCCCGGCCACAAGTGGACAGACCTGGAGGGACTTCCTAGTCTCAAGTCCACACCAGGACAGGGAGAGGCAGACCCCCTAGACCAGAACCATCAGTCCCGGGGCGCCCGGCCGATGCTGGCGGCATTGGCTGCGTGTATGCACAGACACGGTGCCCACCGGCTCCGGGAGCCAAGTGCGCGGTCCGATCACGCGTCTCCTGCGGGCGCGCGGGCGAGCCTTAGAAGTGGTTGTCTCTCTCCGCGCCTCCACGCGGGACGCGGAAGTTTGTGGGGAACGTGGCCCTGTCTTGGCGGGAGATCTTTCCAACCCTCCTCCGCCCGCTGTCACCTCTGCGCCCCCTCCCGCGACCCAGCCAGACCTTGGCCCGGAGGGGGCGGAGTCTCAGCTGGTGGCCTGAAGGCGCCCTCTTCAGCCCCCCGTCTCCCAGCCCCCTTGGCGCCAATGGGGGAGTAGGGGGGGGACGACTCTTGGGCCTCGCGCACACCCAGTGTGGGAAACCCGGAGGGCGCTCCGTGTTCCATCCCTGCCTCAGTTTCCCCACCTCGAGTAGACCGGAGCGCCCCAAAACGCGCCAGGCCCCGCCCCGGGTCTCCAAGTCTCTGCAAGTTCAAACTCTCACCCAGCTCCCCCTCCGGTTGGAAGCTTCGGGTCCCGCCACGGCGGGAGCCCTGGGCGGCTGCGGCAACTGTCGCCCCCGAGAGGGTCCCGGCCCCCTCCTCTTTGCGGCGCCCGGTCTAAGCGCCCTCTGCGCGCCCCAGTACCTTTGCTCCGTAGCGGGCTCCGCGCTTCCTCCTTGCTGATCTGAGTAATGACGGCCGAGCTGTCCATGGGGCCGGGCGCGCTCCGCTCCGGCCGGACTCTGGCCCGGGAGCCCGGCCTCCCCCCCGGCTCGGGCCGGTCCTTTCCCGCCGCCCGCCCGCCCGCCAGCCAGCCCGCCAGCGAGGCCAAGCCTCTGCGGCTGCGTGGCAAGGCCAACACCCCGGCCCACGGTTCTCCGCGCAGAGCGGCCCGGAACCAGGGCCCGCCCGGGGCGCCCGTGCCCGGGAGTGCCCCGAGGCAGCGCGACTCCACCTCTGAACATTCCAAAGGTCGGGGACTGGCAGCTTCTCGGTCTTCTCATCAGGGAAATAGGGATAACACCATCTGGTCTGAAAAGTGGGTCTTCTCTCCGGTAGTCGCAGGGGAAGTCGTGAATGTGCAAAGCCTCTGCTGCACCTCCAAACGACTATGCTGAGCCACACAATTAGGTCCCTAACCGGACCGTGACCTACCCGCAGTCTCGGGCCCTTTTCCCTAAACCCGGAGCTGTAGGGCGCAGAAATTCCAGCTGTCTGCCCCAGGGTGCCCCTTGCCGACCTCTCCTCACCGGGCGCCCGGCCACGTCCACTCCCCATGCCCACTCCAGCCATCCGGCTTTCTCGCCTGAAGCCAAGGGCCTCCACGCCTCAGGGCTTTTATACGTGCCGTTCCTTCTGCCTGAGTGCGCTTCCTACTCCTTCGCACAGCCAAATTCCACCGACCTCGAAGAAATGAAACCCTCCTTTTTCCCAGGCCCCCTCCTCTGCTTCCCACCCGCCGGCCCCTCTGTAACTGCTGGGGAGGGGACATCAGGCCGCGGCCCCACACAGTGGGACTCGCCGGACCGTGGGGACCACGGACATCCACCGGCACACCCGTTCCACTCGGGTCCGTGCAGACTCTCCCCGGGCACGGGGCCCGCGTTTCCACGCGGATTCTTCGCGAGCAAAACTCCCGTGTGTTGCGCGGTGAGGTTTACGGGCGGGGTTTGTTTGGTCTCTTTTTTTTTTCCCCTTGTCTATGAAGTTCTTTCTACTTGTTATTACTGTTTTGTGTTCACATCTTAAAAATATTAATAACGCCAAGCCTTGATAAACACGCCCCAGCACTTCCTTCCCCCGCCGGGCGGGGCGGGGCGGGCGCGTCGGGTCCCGTCCGGCCGCCGGGTGCGAGCGCGGCGCGCTTTCTCCCGGCCGGGCGGAGGGGGCGCCCGGGAAGGAGAGGCCCGGCGCGGGCGGCGGGTCGCGAGCTGAGCTGGCTCCAAGGCGCGTCCGCTTCGGGCCTGGGGTCCAGGGCGGGGTGGGGAGGTGGTCAGGGGCTGTGGATCCACTAGACAACACGACTCGCCCTCTGCTTTTAGTCACAATTATCGCCAACGTGCTGTGAGCACTTAGGTCTGAGTCCGGCTGTGACTGCGCCCTTCATCTCATTTAACGACTCCTTTAAAAACCCGTTTTACAGATAAAGAAACTGAGTCCCGACTAGTGAGCGATTCGGTCCGCCCTGCGGCAGGGACTGAGGTGGGATTCCGGCCGTCGGGCGGAGCCCCCTCCCCTACGGTCCGGCCCCGGGGAGGCGCCTCGACTTTATCTCCGGATGCCCAGCCGTGCTGACCCCAAAAGGAAATGGGCGGCGAAGGGCTGAACGAACCCCTGGCCTCGTCTCTAGTCTGAGCAGCTCGCCTTCCTTCCCCGCCCCGAGGCTGGAGCCTGGAGCCTGGCCGGCTGTCCCTTCGACGGTCAGAGGAGCGGGGATAGGGCGGGCTGGACCGCGCCCCCGCCCCAGCCCGCCCAGTAGCTATTCCCTTCACCTTCGGCCCCTAAGACACACCCCTATCGTCCCCTCCAAGACTTCGAGGTTGTTGACGCCTCCCAGGAGACCTGCCCTACCCCGCTTACTCCGCCCCAACACCCCCCCCCCCATCCCCCGGTTTGGGGGCTCGCCAAGGTGCCCTTTCCGCCCGGGCAGGGTGGATGCAGACTGAGTCCCGACACCTGGGCAATGCGGGCTCTAAGGGGTCTGTGGGGACTGAGTTGCCGGTGGAAGCGTTCTGGAGGGTGGGGCGGGTTCTTCGGGTTTCCCCAGGAAAGGAAACACACACCCAGCTGCTGACTCCCTACCCTCTCTGATACAGCAGCTGGGGGTCGCTGTGCAGTTTATTTTTATGTTTCGTTGGTTTGCACTCCAGGAGAAATCAAGTCATGGGGACTGTGAGCCGAGAAACACTAGGACTCAGTCAGGCTCGGTCTGGCAACTCGGGCCATCATCCAGCATCTCAGCTTCCCCCTCTGACAGCTGGGGTCCCACCCGGGCAAAGTGGGCAGGCTGAGAGAAAGACAGGAAGCCCTTCTCCAAGACCCCAGGCACACCTGGTGTACCACAGGGCAGGGTGGATGCGGAGTGAGTCGGGGGTCTGGGGGTGTGTAGTGATAAGAGTTGTGGGTGGAAGCTTTTGGGGAGAGTTAAGGTGTCAGGCCACTCCTAGCTGGAGGATTCTCTAGTTAGATCTGAACACAGCGGTGGGGGGTGAGGGGGGTAGGCTGGGAGGACCAGGGCTACTGGGAAAGGGGCAGCCTTTTGGGTAGGGAGGGGTCGGGGCAGGGAAACGACTGGCCTTGGCCTGACCTCATGGCTAACCTCTTACCCAGGCCCAGGGCCACCCCTCAGCTGGCCCTTTGGTCCCCTCCCTCTTCCTTTCCCCCCAAGTTCTAAGTTCCAAGCTTGACTGCTCATGTGACCAGGCCTGTTTCTCTGGGGAACTCCCAACAAGGCTGTGTCTCTAGCTTTTGCACACACCTATACACAACCCCAACTCCTGGCATGCTCACCTCCCCCTTGAGAGTTCCCCCTCCATCTATTCAGTTTTCAAAATACTGTCTAGTACTTGATTTTCTCTGGACCTTGCCTCAATTTTTGCAGGTGTGCTGACACTGTTGCCGGTTTGTTGTGGTGTACTTACCGCCCAACTCCGCCAGGTAGTCTATTTAGACACTGTGCCTCCCTCCCCCATGTCCAGCACAGGCCTGGTGCCCAACTAATGCCTAGAGAATTGTTTAAAGATGTGGACAAGGGGTACAGCTGGGGGCACCTCCGGGAAGTAGGGAAGAGGGTCTCCCTTTTCTTGGCTACCTGGCCCCCATTCATCCCCTCTTCCAGTTCCCGTGGGCCCCATCTTCTCCAGGGCCAAGCCAGGAGAAGAGGATTGGGCAGCTTTCTAGTCCGGGTATCTCCCCACCGTTGTGTAGGGTGAGCCAGACCTGTCCCATCCCAGTCCTCTTAGAGGGCCCCACTTGTTTTGTTGCCCTTTTAAGAAAGAGGAAATTCTTCTCATAAACAAGCGCCTCAACCTGAGCGCGGAGCCCGACTGCCTGCCCCACTGCATCCCCGGGAAATCGGGGGTGCTTCCAGGCACACCGCCCACTCCAAGCTCAATCCAGGGGGAAAGACTGGCGGCCCCTCTTCGCCGCTGCTCGCCACCGGGGCTGGGGGCGGGGGTGGCGGGTGTCCCAGAGACTGGAAGAGGCCGGAGGAAGAGACTTTGGGGGAGCCTAGAAACAGCTCAGGGAACGTCTGTAAAGTGCAGTCCCTGCTAGGGGCGAAGGGGCACTGGCCCCGCTCCCTACGGCCGAGGGGGTTCCCCGCCCACGAAGCTCACCCCCCACCCTCCAGCCTGGGCTGATTCCGAGGCCCTCCGGCTCGGGGCCCGAGTGACCGCCTCCTCCTTTTTGGAGGCGGGGAGTACAGGCGCTCGGAACCGTCCCTTGCCCCTAGGGGGAGCTGGGAGACAGCGCCCTGGGAGCGTCTACTGCGCGGCGTGGGAGTCTCGGCCGCCGTCCCTGGGGAAATGGCAAATGAATTGGGCCTCGGAGGCATGGACTCTTGGGTTCTTTACGACCTGGTGCCCGAAGAGAGGGGAACCACGCCCTCGTTCTACTGCCTGGAAAATGGGTTTCGGGTGGAACCGAATGTCTGAGGCCACTCCAGTGAGAGTAGGAGCGAGAGGCAGACATTCGAGGAGGGGGATACTTGTTGATGGTTCAGGGATTTTGTGCTTGCCTGTCTCCGTTTCCCTTCTCTTTTGGATTAAGCGGTGAATCAGCATTTATTTGGGCTTCCCCAGTGGCTCAGCGGTAAGGAATCCGCCTGCAATGCAGGAGATGCAGGCGATGGCGGTTCCCTGAGTAGGGAAGATCCCCTGGAAGAGGGCATTACAACCCACTCCAGTATTCTTGTCTAGAGAATCCCATGGACAGAGGAGCCTGGTGGGCTGCGGTTCATAGGGACGCAAAGAGTCTGACACGACTGAAGGGGCTAAGCACAACGGCATTTATTTAACATTTTCAAACTCTTATTTTTAAGTCAGTTTGGAGCCTGGGTCCTGCCCTGGACTGGGTGGGTCTGTCAGATCACTCCTGTGATAGTGCTCAGTAAATACTTTTGGAATTATGATTCTTTTGTTTTTAAATCTGAAGTGCTAGGCTCTGCGTTCAAGTGTCTTATTTACAACCATTGCAAGGTAGGTGTCCCCATTTTATAGTCAAGAACACTGAGATCTGAGCTAGGAAACAGCAGGTCCCTATGGAACTCACGTTGTCCGGCTTCCAGAACTCCCTCTCCGTCTTGCTGTGGGTGACCACACACACACCCTTGTCTGGCAGGCCACTGTGCCCACTCATCCCACCCGTGGCCAGGCCCTGGTGGGAGCTCATCCTGAGGTCCTCCCCCTCTCCTGATCCTCTTCAGGAAGCCCATACAGAAAGCGTTGGTGGGAATTGTGGGCCAGAACAGTGGCTCCCTGGGTGATGAGACAGGTCCAGACCTGAGGGAGGGGCGGCTATGAGGAGGGGAGAAGACCCACGAGGAAGCTCCCGGTACATCCCCGCTATGCCCTCCATCTGTGGTCTCCTCTCCTTGCCTCCCCCATCCCCCAGGCACCCGCCAGCCCAGCAGTACCAGGTAGGTGGTGAGGCCCAGGTAGGCGGCAGCCAGCAGAGCTACAAGGCTGAAGTAGGCAGGGTGGGGAAGGCTGGGCACATAGCTGATGATGAAGTAAAGGTTGACAGCGCAGACCAGCACCATGATGGAGGAAGTGATGACTTTGCTCACCCTTGGGAATGAGAGGGAGACTCAGGATCGGCTGCATCACCCCCAGGGCCCACAGTCAGCCTGGAGCTAACGCAGGCTTCCCAGGGCTGTGGGGCTGTGGGGTCTGGTGCAGGCCCCTGGCCATTTTCTGCCTCCTGGGCTGGCCAGGCACCACACCAGCAGGATTTGGCAAGAGTAGAGGCTGAGGTCGGAGAAGGCAATGGGACCCCACTCCAGTACTCTTGCCTGGAAAATCCCATGGACGGAGGAGCCTGGTAGGCTGCAGACCATGGGGTCGCTAAGAGTCAGACACGTCTGAGCGACTTCACTTTCACTTTTCACTTTCATGCATTGGAGAAGGAAATGGCAACCCACTCTGGTGTTCTTGCCTGGAGAATCCCAGGGACGGGGGAGCCTGCTGGGCTGCCGTCTGTGGGGTCGCACAGAGTCAGACACGACTGACTCGATTTAGCAGCAGCAGCAGCAGAGGCTGAGGTGAAGGGGAGGAGCTCAAGCTCTAGAAATAACCCCTAGCTCAGGATTCCAGTCCTGGCTAGCTGTTCCTCCTCTTTCTAGCTATGTGACCCTAGGCAGGTTTCTTAACCTCTCTGATCTTATCAGATATTCCTTATCTGGAATAGTGAGAATTCCTACCTCTTGATGGTTGTGAGGATCAAGTGTGATAACGTAAGCCCAGTGCTGGGGTTGGGGAGTACTCACAGGCCATTGGCAAACTCCTGCATCAGGGCGGGCATGCTGGTGAAGGTGAGGATGGGCAGCACAGCAAAGGGAAGCTAGGAAGAGTCAGAAGAAACGGGCTGAAGGACCCTGCCGTTAGAATACAGTGAGGAGGGGAGGAGCAAGCCAGGGCTCCAGTCACCCTCTGCTTCACTGTGCAACCTTGGGAGTCCCCTAACCACTCTGAACCTGTTTCTCCACGTCTATGGCTTCCACTGTGTGTGCTAGTCGCTCAGTTGTGTCTGACTCTTTGGAACCCCACAAATGATGGCCCACCAGGCTTCTCTGTCCATGGGATTTCCCAGGCAAAAATCAATTCAATTCAGTCACTCAGTCGTGTCTGACTCTTTGTGACCCCATGGATTGCAGCACACCAGGCTTCCCTGTCCATCACCAACTCCCGGAGCTTACTCAAACTCATGTCCATCGACTCAGTGATGCCATCTCATCCCCTGTCATCCCCTTCTCCCACCTTCAGTCTTTCCCAGCATCAGAGTCTTTTCCAGTGAGTCATTTCTTGGCATCAGGTGGCCAAAGTATTGGAGCTTCAGCTTCAACATCAGCCCTTCCAATGAATATTCAGGACTGATTTCCTTTAGGATGAACTGGTTGGATCTCCTTGCAATCCAAGAGACTCTCAAGAGTCTTCTCCAACACCACACAGTTCAAAAGCATCAATTCTTTAGCGCTGAGCTTTCTTTATAGTCCAGCTCTCACATCAATACATGACTACTGGAAAAACCATAGCTTTGACTAGATGGACTTTTGCTGGCAAAGCAGTGTCTCTGCTTTTTAGTATGCTGTCTAGGTTGGTCATAGCTTTTCTTCCAAGGAGCAAGCATCTTTTAATTTCATGGCTGCAGTCACCACCTGTAGTGATTTTGGTGGGATACTGGAGTGGATTGCCATTTTCTTCTCCAGGGGATCTTCCCAGCCCAGGGATCAAACCCATATCTCCCACTGCAGACAGATTCTTTACCGTCTGAGCCACCAAGGAAGCCCCAAGGTCGTGGGGGCCCCAAAGCAGGAGAAAGTGTTTGGGGGGTCTGGCCCCAGGCTATCTGAGTGTGCATCCTAGCTCTGCTGTACTGTGCTTAGTCACTCAGTTGTGTCCAACTCTTTGTGACCCCATGACCTGTAGAGGTCGCCAGGCTCCTCTGTTCGTGGGGATTGTCCAGACAAGAATACTGGAGTGGGTTGCCATGCCGTCCTCCAAGGGATCTTCCCAACCCAGAGATCAAACCCAGGTCTCCTGCACTGCAGGCGGATTCTTTACCATCTGAGCCACCAAGGAAGCCCCGTGGCTCTGCTACTGGTCACTTAATTGCGTGCATCAGTTTTTCCATCTGCAAAATGGGGAAAATGGCAGTTTCTACACCCTGGGGCAGCTATGGGGAGTACCAGAATCTTGTAGGTAAAGTGTGTTTAGAATTGTGCCTGGGAGGTGGGGGAGTCTGGGGAGGGAGGGAATTGCTGTGGTTCCTGTTTGGCCCCACAGGGCGGAGGAGGTGGTAGGACCCGTAGGCTCACCAGCAGGCTCTGCAGAACGTTGAGCAGGTCGTTGAGGCCTGACAGGTCCCGCAGGTCCCTGAAGACAGCCACGAGCACAGTGGGCAGGATGGCGCAGGAGCGAGTGAGCAGGACTCGGGTGAAGCGTGACCACCGCAGCTTCAGGAAGCCCTGGGGCATGCAGTGAGGAACTCGGTGGTGGGATGCAGAACTGGGGTTCCAGGGGAGGAATCCTCCATCCTCCCTCAGCCCATCTGATACCTGGAGGAACCCTCTGTTTTTCTATCTTTGAAATGGGGGCAGCTCTGTCTATAGTTGGTGGTGAGGGGATAGATGGGGGAAATTGGGGGTGAGGTTTTCCCCCCTACAGCTGATTGCTGAAGCCTAAACCGTTTTGGAGAAAAGGCTCCTATTAGTCCTGGGTAGTCTCAGGCCTCACGTCCCTAAATCTCAGTTTTCTCATCTGTGTAGTGGGGCTTATAAGGGTACCCATTGGGCTGCCTTAAGGATCAAGGAGGCCCATGTCCAAGTCCTGAGTGGTCTGCCTTGTGCTCAGACACCGGCCGGCCCAGCCACACCTCCATCACAAACTGTCCCGCGTAGGTGCCGGTCATGGTGGAGCTCTGCCCAGCGGCCAGGAGACCCACAGCCCAGATGTAGAGGGCTGCAGGGCCAAAGAGGCAGCCCAGGATCACGCCCTGGAAGAAGGGGTGTGGTCAGACCATGGACCCACCCCCTCCTGGCGCAGACTCCGCCCCTGAAGTGGGCGTGGTGAAGGGGGTTCCGCTGGATCCAGCCCTTCCTCGCAGGTGCCCAGCCCTGCCATTCGCTTACTCCTTGGTAAATGTCCACTGTCACGGTCAGGTTATTCCTGGGAAAGATCGTCGCATAGTCGTGGAGGCTGCTGCTGGCACAGATGTTGAACTGGAGGCACCGGACAGTAGGAAAGAGATGTGAAGCACACACTCAATACGGGAAAATCAGACCTCCAAGCCTTGACCAAGGGTTGAAAACTGGGTGGCCCACAGGCTGAATCCAGCCCGACATATTTTGCTTGGCCAACAATTTTTTTTTCTTTAATGTGAATTTGTTGACAACGTTTACAATTGAGAAGCATTAACAAGCCTGGTTTCTAGCTTCTCTTTGATGGTGAGAGCTGGCATTACCACAGAGACACAATTGGCTGCCAGTGACTCAAGCAAACCCACAGGCCCTTCTCCCTTACCTGGGACCCACTTCCCACAGCTCTGCGACTCGGTCGGTCTCGAAGACAATGTGTGACTATAGTTTGCCATCCTGTTTAGATCTCTCTCCTTGTGCTAAGGAGAGAGACTCACAGAGGGGTATGACCTCACAAGGTCACTCAGCAAGGCACCCAACAGTGCCTGTGTGCCCGGAGTCCTGACTAGTCTGTTCCGGCCCCACCAGCCCCCTTTAGTGCCTCTGGACAGAGACCCACCCAAAAACTGAGACAGACTCAGGTCCCAAATCCCAGAAAGCCAGGGAGGAGCTGGTTGGTTCGTTCTCTTTCAGAGTCCACTCAAATACCATCTCATCCAAGAGGCTTCCCCTGGCCACCTGGGCTAATGTAGAAGCCCCTCCCCCACCACACCCCCAATTATGTTTCATCACCCCCTTTATTTTCTTTACAACATTGTTCATATTTTCCTTTGAAATCAATCAACTGATTGGTTGATTTCCAGTTTGCTTACTGCCTCCAAAGTTAATCTGCAAGAGGGCAAGGCCATTGTATTATTGGCTGCCGTATTCCCATGGTCTAAGACACTGGGTGATACATAACAAATGCTCAATAAATATTTGATGAATGAATGATGGTTTATCTGCTAGTAATGAAGATTATCACTAGAAACTCAAGAGAAGAAACTGACTGCATGAATATTCCCAACCTCACGCTCAAGCTTAGGCAGGCACCCCCTCCCAGAAGGTTCTCCCCACAGCTGGCTGGGCAAATCCTGCCCATTCTTCAGGTGCAGCTGGAATGCTGGGTCCTCCAAGACTCAGCTCCCTCCAATAACCTCCCCTGGATGTGTGTGCCCTGGAGCCCCTGGTGTGGGGGCTGACCCTCTACAAGCCTACAGGGGGCAGCTGTGTCTCCCCAGTAGGGTGGGAAAGGGGCTCCCAGTCAGAGGCCAGGGTCAAGACTCCTTCCCCTACCAGTGCAAGACAGAGACTCAAAGGGCATAGCTGCACTCTTTGGAGTCCCCCGCAGAGCTTAAAGGGCATGAATATATGGGGTGTGCCTCACCGCAGCCTGGTTGGTTTGCTTGTAGAAGGCTTGCCCAAAGACAGCCATGACAAAGAGGTTGATGAGGAAAGAGACAGACAGGGCGATGGTGGCTTCAACCAGGAAGTACATGTTGGCTTCTCGGATGTCCGCCCGCCGGGACCGGTCTACCTCTCGAGACTATGAAGGTAAAAGGACGGAAGTATCGAAGTCCCTTAGAGTTGTCCCAGAACTCTCTACCGTCACACTCTACATATGTTCCCCTAAACCCCGTTCTGTCTAAAGCCCTCTTGCATGTTAGTCTGGGATAGTCCTTTGTTTCTGTCTCAGGACCTTTGCACTTGCTGGTCCTTCCGCTTAGAATATCTTCTCCCCTAATCTTCCTTCCCATCCTTCATGTTGCAAAAGTCACCTCCTTAGAAAGGCCTTTGCTAGCTACCTTTTCTAGGGAAGCCCCCCTCCTCAGTCATCCTCCATCAGGCTGCTCTGTTTTGTTTCTTTCAGAGCATCTTTCACAATCCATTTCTTTCCTTTACTATTGACTTGCTCATGGTCTGCCTCCCCGACTAGAAATGCATGCTCTAAGAAGCCAGAGGACTTATCTGTCTTTTCCCTCACTGACCCTCAGCTCCCAGCACACAGTAGACCCTCTATTATTATATATTGAATAAAGAATGATTGGCTTCTCTCCTAAATTCAGAGGCAGGCGTCGAAGGGGCGGGGCTTCAGCCTTGGGGGCGGGGCTAGCGTGGCTCTAAGGGAGAGCACGCGTCTCCCTCCCCTCCAGTCTGCTCACCTTGACCAGGGAGGAATGCAGGTAGATGTTGTGGGGCATGATGATGGCGCCAACGATGCCCACGGCCTGCAGCAGCTCGGGCTGGCCACAGCCTGCGCACGAGGGCAGGAACAGGCCCTGAAGCAGTGCTCCCTGGGCAGGCCGTGCCACCACGTACTGTGGGGTGAGTGAAAGTCGCTCAGTCGTGTCCAGCTGTTTGTGACCCCATGGGCTGTAGGCCATGGAATTCTCCAGGCCAGAATACTGGAGTAGGTAGCCTTTCCCTTCTCCAGGGGATCTTCCCGTACTGTGGGGAGGAGCCTCGTTAGGCCCGGCTTAATGGGGGTGGGGGTGGGGGTGGGGGTAGGTCATGGCTAAGGTCCTCTCCCCTGTCCCATCAGGCTCTGCATGGGGCAGAGTAGGGTGGCTTTGGTGCAGGGCCCTGTTATGGCTCTGGCTTCCCACCTCATAGCCGAAGGTCAAGGCCATTATGGTAATAAGAAATCCAAAAAAGGCTTCCAGCTTCCGCAACCCTAGGGTGAGAGCAAAGGGGCTGAGCAACAACAAAAACCACCCAAAACCATAATTGTAACTTAAGCAATTATTAATGACTGATATCCTGAGCACTTTGTTCCTGGCACTGTGCCCCGGGCTTGACCGGTGATACTGCAGTGAATCCTCCCAGCAGCCCTCCCAGATACTAGCCCTGTGCTAGTATCTGCGTGTTGTAGATGAAGAAACACTACTCTAAGTTGCTCAAGGCCATGCAGAGCGAGGTTGCTCAGAGCCCTTCTCCCAGTTCACCAGAGCACCATTACATTCATTGCCAGCCCCCTCCTCGCCCGAGTCCCACTGGGGATGAGGGGCACACACCCACCGTAGTTATCGAGGAAGAGGAAGAAGAAAGTGTCCATGATGGTGATGAGGACACCACCCCAGAGTGGGATTCTGAAAGCAGAGTGGCCTGGGTCAGCCTGGCCCAATTGAGGAGTCTGGATCTCCCACCCTCAGGGCTGGAGACCATGGAATGGGGCCTCCGGAGAGCAGGCACTCAAGGGGCCCCAGACAGCTGAGGGAGAGGGGAGCTGGGGGTCTAGAGACCTCAAATGGCACCTCCATGCTGGGTGGGGGACCAGCGTGGTAGGGAGCTTGGGGCTGCAGTACTGAAGCCTGCAAGATGACCAACATCTGTCCGATTTGCAGCAAGTCGCTTTACACATCTGGGTCTCTGTTTCCCCATCTGGCAGATTAGGCAATAACTGAGTCAGAGATGACTGCAGGATGAAGTGGTCAGGGGGAAATAGAAGGCCTGGGGAGGAAGTGGCAGCTGTTCCCAGCCCTGGGCTGAAGAGCTCGGGCCCCTCTGGAGTACCGTCCAGCAGAGAGCAGACTGAATGCAATAGCCGTGCCAATGACTTCCTGCATGTCTGAGCCCACGATGGCTAGCTCGATGGTCAGCCAGAGGAGAACGCGGGGCACCTAGGCGAGGACGAGATCCATTCAGCAAGGCTGTCTCTGGTCTCAGTCCTGCACCCACCTGTCTGTAGCTGGCTCTATATGCCTGGGCTGGAAGCCTGCAAACTACATTTGCAAGTGTAGCCTTGCCAGTTGGCTTCATGGTGCCATGGTGGTTTCACGTATAAAATTAGAAACGTCAATTAAATAGAGTCGGGAGATAAGAAGAGGAAGCTTCCGCGCCCTTCAAAGATAGCAGAGCCCAAGAGAAAGAAGACACTTCTTTGCTGGAAAGGATTTAGGCACTGAAAAGTCATGGACTCTTTGCTATCAGCCTCCCAACTTCCCTTTTCCCTCCATAAAAGTGTTCTCCTTCCCTTGTGTAGAGTCCTTGCAGGTGGCTCCCCATGGCTACAGACCCTGAATTATCATTCTCTGCTGATCCTGAATAAACTCATCTTGGCTGCAGAAATATCTGACCTAAAATATCTGTTTTAGCTCAACAGTAAGAAATATTTAAGGAAAATTAAAAAACAGGAAGAGATCTTTTTCCTCCTGCCTCTGGAGCTGGCACCAGCAAGGGTGCCACGTAGCCTGGGCTCCAATCAACAGTGATGGCAATGTTTCTAGAAGCTCGACAGCAAATGATGGTCCTTGGGTTTCTGTCCAGCAGCTTTCTGATCTCTGGGTAACACCTCCTTCTCTTGCTCCTTCAGCTCTGTCAATACCTTTGTGACTATATCCTGCATTAGATGCCTTTGACCAATCCAGTGGTATAATTTCTGTTTGTTTGCCTGGACGCTGACAACAGCCAAGTCCCCAGTGTCCACCCCAGCCAATGGTTATTCCACACCAGTTTTGCCTCGCCCCCATCCCGTTTTTCTGCTTAGGCAAGTCACTTCCCCAGGTTTCAACGTCCTCTTCAGTAAAAAGAGCAAGGTACCTCTAGCGTCCCTCCCATTCTGCATTCTATTCGTTTGAGCCTCAGCCTTACCTATCACATGGGCTTGTAATGCTCCACTTGAGATGATATTTTTATTTGATCATCAAAGCTTTCAATGGCTGTTTGGGATTTTGTGGCTACAGATTCTTCCTGTCCAGGGGTACCAAGCTCACCTTAGGGTAGTAGAGATGGCAGACCTCGCCCAAGTCCTTGCCTGTCACCACGCCCAGCCGGGCAGCCAGTCGCTGGCAGAGCAAGCCCAACACTGTGGCCCACAACAGCACCCAGAGCAGCTGCGAGAAGTTAGGGAGAGGCCGTCAGCCAGCGGGGCTAGTTTCTGATAACCCCCAAATTGCTGGGACCTTCTAACCTAGGACACTCACCGGGGAGAGGATGGGGGATACAAAGCTGGAAGACAATGCCCCCTATACCCCACAGTGTGGCATGGCTGCCTTGGAGACCCTTTTCTGGCCCATTTGAACTTAACACCTATTTCCAGCAACTCTGGCCAGGAAGGCCACTCTGGGGAGTTGTGGCAAAGCTGGGGGTCTCCACCCACTTAGCCTGGTCACCACCCTCCCCACGGTGCCCCGACTCCGTCACTTTGAATCCAGCCACAGCCCCAGCCTGAAGATCTGACTCGATGTTTCCTGGGTCCAGGAATGCAATGCTCATGAGGAATCCAGGCCCCGTGAAGGCCCACAGCTTCCGCAGGCTGAATGTACCCTGTGGAGGGGAGTGGAATGAGGGGTCTTGGGTGGGCACAGCTGGCCTTGGCCAGCACCCAGTTGATACCTTCCCAGGCTCAGAGACCCAGGCTGGCCAGCCCTGCCCTCGATTCCCCATTCCTGGAGCTATCACCTGGAGGGTTAGTGGAGCACATGAGTGGGAAGGACTTAGGATTTGCTGGGTCATGGCAGATCAGCTGTCTGGATGGGTCAGTTCTGCAGTCTATACCTGATTGGCCAGCCTCATGCAGGCCCTGACTCAGCAGATCCTCAGAGCCCAAAGGGAAGCTTTCCTGGGTCAGACCTCCCTGGTCCAACTCCTCCCTCCACAGCCCCTTCTCAGACCACAAGGCCTCCTCTCTTGAGTCCACCAAGCCGAGGGTCTCCCCACCCCCATTCTGGGGATCCTGAGTCTCTCTGAAGATTCTGGAAACGCAGGATGACATGTCCTAGGCTTCCCTGGTGGCTCAGACTGGAAAGAATCTGTCTGCAGTGCAGGAGACCTGGGTTCGATGCCTGGGTTAGGAAGATCCCCTGGAGAAGGGAATGGCTATCCATTCCAGTATTCTTGTCTAGAGAATCCCATGGACAGAGGAGCCTGGTGGGCTACAGTCCATGGGGTCGCTGAGAGTCTGACATGACTGAGCAACTAACACACACCCTCTTCCCAGAAGCCAGCCCACTGGCGTCACCTTTCCCATGCCCTTATCTGCTTCCTTTCCTTAAATATTACAACAAATCCTTGAGGCTGCAACCCAAATTCATCCCGGGTCCTTTCCCCTTCCTAGGAGAGCTGAGATTCATTTAAAAAGCCACTTGGAATTTTTAGACAAATAGTAAGCACCCCAGCTAAGCACCGGGGGACGGAAGCAGGAGGGCAACAGTTCCCATTGTCTGTCACTGCGGCTCAGAGCCAGGAGGGACTGGCCCTGATCTTCAGGAGACCTCCTTCCCCAGGCTGCTGAGAGCCCACACAATCCGGTGCATCCTGAAAGCCCCCAGGAAGTCTCCAGCGTTCTCACCGATTCTGTATCCGGAATGGGGATCTTCTCACTTAGGTAGGTCCCTCCGGGAGGCGCTTGCTGTGACCCTGGACTGGGTGGGCTGGAGATGGAGCCATATCTGGTCCCTCCCTGCTTTGGGGGGCCCATGTCACCTGCAAAGGGCCCCACGAGCCTTGGTGAGTGACCTGCCTCTTTCTGCTGGCCCAGGGTTAAAGCCATCTGTCCTCTCCCCCCCCCCTCCCCGCTCCTCCTGGCAGAGAGGAGAAATGAAGGCCCCACCAAATCAGAACCCTTCACTCTCATCTTAGGTCCATCACCTCCACCCATGAACCGGACACTCCGGAAGATGTATAAGAAGTGGCGCCTTCAGGGTTCCCTCCTTCCATGGGAGGGCAGAGATTCCCAGATCTAGTTCTCTCTCCACGGAGGATGTGGAGAGGGACATGGGTTCCGAGGAGGCAAAACACACCACCGCGTGCCCCAGGGCCACATCCCTGCCGCCTGCAGGAGTCAGGGAAGCTGCAAGGGCTCCAGGTTCACAGAGACCAGGCTCTGCCCTTGGAGGTGTGAAGAGCCCAGCCTCAGGCTGGTGTCTGGAATTGCGGTTGAGATCCAGACTCCCACGGCGCAGCAGGGACTTCCCTTGCCCGCCCTGACTCTCCCCATCACACCCCCACTCAGGCTCTGTCCCTGGAGGGGGCCTCTCACCTGGAATGAAGACCGCAGACTCGGGCACTCTGTGCGAGCGGCTGGCGTGCCGGGTAGCCCCTCACGGGCATGGCAAGCCTGTGCTTCCTCTCTAGGCAGTGGTGATCGTGCAGGTCCACGCCCTCTTGCCCATCCTCAGCTGTCCTCACATACAGGCACGTTGTGAAACACTTTCCAAAGGCAGAAGTGGCCAGTTCTGGAGGAAGGGTCTGGGTGGCCACAGTAAGGACATTTGTTCCCCTCCTGGCCTGAGCCCCACAACACCTCTGGCTCCCTTCCAGGCACCCTGAGTTCTGCGCCTCTCCCAAGTTAGCTCTGATTTTGGACAACTTCCTGCCACTTGGGCATGCATGTCTAGATCACATGACTGCCCGCCAGCCCACCCTCACCCTGTACAAGCAGTCAGGTCCTTCTCCTTTTCAATCTTGGGTCCCATGGCCACTGGGAGGAAGGGAGTTTGATGGCTGTCTAGGTCTCAGTGTCCCACTGACTGCCTCAGAGGGAAAGATCTTCCGGCCACTGCCACAGGGACATACATTGAAGATTCAGGCCAAAGAGATCCCCAGAAGAAAGAGGCACTGGAATTCTGGTCTTGGTTCTGCCGCTGATCCACTGACATTGTCACCAGATCACGTCTTGTCTCTGAGCTTGTTCCTTCAGTTAAATGAGGGTTCAGTCTAACTAAAAGGTCAAAAGGTGCCCAAGGAGGCCAGGCAGGTAAGATAAACTATGAGACCAGTTGGGAATGAGAAGAACAGTGCTGGCTCAGTGCTCAACGTCAAACGATGCTCAGTATCAGGGGGAAGTAATAGGGAGTGGTGGTGGTTTGGTCGCCGACTTTTGCGATCCCATGGACGTAGCCTGCCAGGCTCCTCTGTCCATGGGATTTTCCAGGCAAGAATACTGGAGTGGAATGCCATTTCCTTCTCCAGGGGATCTTCCCAACCCAGGAATCGAACCCAGGTCTCCTGCATTGCAGGCAGATTCTTTACCGACTGAGCTACAAGGGGGGGAAGGAATGGTGGAGACAAAGGTCATAAACTCTGTCTGAAGAGGGCAGTGCTCACAGAGTTTCAGCCAGTTGTCAATGTGAGGATGTGGGTCCACTGTCACTATATCGTCTGTTTTGTCAAGGATGCTGGAAAATTTATGCAACATATGCATTTGAATACTGGGCTCAAATGTTTTGCAAATATTGGGTGACCTAAGCAAGCACTTCTATGGGCCGGATTCCACTTTAGGACGATCAATCTGTATGCTCTAGACCCTTCTAGCTCCCAATCTCTTCTCCTTGCCAGCTGCCAGCTCCTTTATCGCCCCACTTACTTCCCTCGGAGTCTTCTCCCTGCCATGCCCACTCATGTCCTCTATCCTGTAACCTTTCTTTTCTGCCAAGAAGATTCAAAACTCAAATTGTCATGGCGTTTCCAACTCCAAAGTCTGGACCTCCAGATGCAGAGAAAGTCAGGGCTTGTTCCCAAGCCCAGACTTGATCTGGGATATGATGTTTCCCCAGGTTGAGTCAAAAACTTGAGCCAAAGCTTGGAAACCCAGGGTGGTGGGAGGCAGCCAATTTCCTGGCACCTTGTTGATGAGAGAGGCTGGAGGGACAGGAGAGGCAGGGGTAGAGGGGTGACTGGTTTGAGTCACAGATGAGAGAGCAGCATAGTGGTTTGTCACTGTGCAATCTTGTTGCTCAAGCCACCAGCCTTGACCTCTAGGGTTTACACAGGTTTGCAATCACTACTTTGGACTCAACGTGGGGTGGCTGGGGGATAAGGCTGGGGTAGGAGGCTGTGATGGTTTAATTTTTGTGGGTCAGTTTGAGCCATGGGGAGCCCAGTAATTTGGTCAAACATTCTAGGTGTGTCTGTGAGGGTGTTTTTGGAGGACATTAATATTTGAATTGCTAGACTAAGTAAATCAGATTTCTCTCCCTAATATGGGTATGATCCAATGAATTTGATGAGAATAAAAGGCTGAGTAAGGGATAATTCTCTCTCTCGATGAGTGTCTTTGAACTGGAACGCTAGTCTTCTCCGGTCTTCAGACTTAGTTTGGACTAGAACTTATATCATCAGCCCTCCTATTTCTCAGACTTTCAGACTCAGATTGGAATTGTATATGCCATTGACTCCAGGGTCTTCAGCTTGCAAATCTTGGGACTTCTTGCCCTCTATACTCTCATGGGCCAGTTCCTTATTATCTATCTATATACCTTATCTGTTTATATTTCTGTTGGTTCTGTTTCTCTGGAGAACCCTAAGACAGAGGTCCTCCTCTTTGCATTTTTTGTGAGGCCTTCCCTACAGTTAGGAACTTGGTGAGTGTAACTGATTAATGATTGATCAAACCCAGCACAAACTCTGCCTTACACAAGAGGCAGTATGTGTCATGGTTAAGAGCAGGGCTTTCTGGCCAGTGTCTCCATGAGCCAGAGCTCTGGAAATCTGCATAGTGGCCCCCTCAGATCTGGAGTTGTTGCTGAATACTAAGCCCTACATGCGTAGAGTGAGATTGCTTGAAGCCCAATTCGATCAAAATGGATCACAGTCTTAAATGTAAATTTAAAACTATAAAACTTTTAGAAAAAAAAAGTAAGGGAGGGAATTCCTTGGCAGTCCAGTGCATTTTCACTGCTGTGACTTGGGTTCTATCCCTGGTGGGGGAACTTAAGATCTGTAAGCCACAAGGCATGGCCCAAAACAAAAAGGAAAAGAAAAAAGGTAGGAGAAAATCTTCAGGATCTAGGACTAGATGAAGATTTTTGTTAGACTTGACACCAAAAGCGTGACTGATAAAGGGGAAAAGGATGAGTTGGACCTCATCAAAATGAAAACTTTTGCTCTGTAAAGAACCATGTGAAGAGAATGAAGAGAAAAACTAAAAATTCAGAGAAAATATTTACAAACCACGTATCTAACAAAACTCCAGTATCTAAAAATAGGGAACTCTCTTAAAACTCGAGAGTGAAAATACAAACAGTCCAATTAGAAATGGGCAGGGAGTTCCCTGGTGGCCAGGGGTTGACTTCGGTGCTTTCACTGTTGTGACCAGGGATTAGGTCCCTGGTTGGGGAACTGAGAGCCCACGTCTCGTGGCGTGGCCAAAAAAAAAAAAAAAGAAAGAAAAAGAAATGGGCAGAGGTCATGAACACACACTTCACCAAACAGGACATACAGAGGGCAGACAAATATATGACAGGATGTTCAGTGTCGTTAGCCATTAGGGAAATGCAAGTGAAATCATAATGAGATATGACTACATCCCGATCAGAGTGGCTAAAATAAAAAGAGTCACAATATCAAATATTGATGAGGATGTGGAGAAACTAGGTCAATCACTCATATGTTGCTTGTGGGAATGTAAAATGGTATAACCACTCTGGAGATAGTTTGGAAATTTCTTTAAAAATTGAAGATGTGGTCTTCCTTGGTGACGCAGTAGTAAAGAATCTGCCTGCCAATGTGGGAGACATGAGTTCAATCCCTGATCCTAGAGGATTCCAGTGCGGTGGAGCAGCTGAGCTGGAGCTCCACATCTATTGAGTCTGTGCTGTGGATCCTGGCAGCCTGCATACCGCACCTTCTGAAGCCCGTGCTCAGGGACAGAGAAGCCACTGCAATAAGAAGCCCCCACTTGCCACAACTGGAGAGGGCCCAGGCACAACAATGAAGACCCAGCACAGCCAAAAGTAAATAAAATTATAACCCCCCCCCAAAATAAAATTTAAAAATGCAACTACCATATGATTCAGCAACTGCACTCCTGGGCATTTTTTTTTTTTTAAACTGGAGAAATGGTAAGAGCTCAAACTGGAAACAGTCCATACCATTCTTCAACATGTGAATGGTTAACCAAAGTACAGTACATCCATACCATAGAATATACTGTGGTATTCACACTGCATACTATGGTATACATGTATCCCAGAGAGGTTAAAACTTATGTTCAGACTAAAACCTGTATATAAACGTTTATAACAGCTTATCTCTAATACCCAAAACTAAAATTAGCCTAGCTGTCATTCAACAGGAGAATGGTTAAACTAAGTGCAGTACAAACCATTGATTACTATTTAGCTGTGAAAGGAACAAACTACTAATATACACAGTAACTTGGGAGAATCTCCATGAAATCATGCTAAATGAAAAAAATCCATTTGTAAAGTCTTCATGTATTACTATTTCATTATGTGACATTTGTAAATAAGTAAGGGTAAAACTAGGGACATCTGAAAAAGAGCTATGGGTTGTGTCAAGGTCAATATCCTGGTTGATTGAAAGCAGAGAGTCAAACAGATACTTGTACACTTGTGTTCAGAGCAACGTTTTTCACAATAGCCAAAAGGAGGAAATAATTCAAGTATCTATCAAGACGAATAAAGTGCTATACTATCCAATGGAATATTATTCAGTCTTAAAGAGAAATGAAATTCTGATATATGCTACCATGTGGATGAACCCTGAAAACATTATGCTAAGTGAAATAAGCCAGTCACAAAAGGACAAATATTGTATGATTCCACTTACACGAGGCAAATCTACAGAGGCAGGAAATAGGACAATGATTACTATGGGCTGTGGGACAGGGGGGAAAGGGAGTTATTATTTAATGGGTACAAAGATTTTGTCTGAAAAAAAAAAAGATTTTGTCTGGGATAACAAAAATGTTCCAGAAACAGATGGTGGTGATGGTTGTACAAAAATGTGAATGTACTTAATGCCAGTGACTTGTACACCTAAAAATGGTTAAAAGGGTACAGTATATTTTGGGCTTCCCTGGTAGCTCAGACAGTAAAGAATTTGTCTGCAGTGCAGGAGACCCGGGTTCAATGCCTGGGTCAGGAAGATCCCCTGGAGAAGGGAATGGCAATCCACTCCAGTACTCTGGCCTGGAGAATTCCATGGACAGAGGAGCCTGACAAGCTACAGTCCATGGGGGTCACAAAGAGTCAGACACAACTGAGTGACTATCACTTTCACTTTATGTAATTCTCCAGGCCAGAATACTGAAGTGGGTACCTTTCCCTTCTCCAAGGGATCTTCCCAACCCAGGTCTTCTGAAATGCTGGCGGATTCTTTACCAGCTGAGTCACAGGGAAGCGCCTTTATGTATATATTACCACCAAAAAAAAAGTGGAAAAATTCCTGGTTGTGATATTGTCTTTTAGTTTGTAATTAATTATTTTTGGTTGCCCTGGGTTTTTGTTACTGCGTGCAGGCTTTCTCTAAGTGCGGTGATCGGTAGTGGCTACTCATCCTTGTGGTGCCTGGGCTTCTCACTGGGAT